CAATACAGACAAAATGAACAAAGGTATTTTGTTAAAGAGCATGTGGGAAAATGAGAACTGTACATGAAAACCTGAAGGAAAGTGACCTCTTGGGGGACCTAGATACAAATGGATGTATAATATTAAGATAAATCTTAAAGAAGTTGAGTGTGAGGGTGTGTACTTGATTTTGTTGGCTTAATGTGGTCTAGTGGCATTCTGCTGTAACTGTGATATTGAAGTGTAAGGTTCCCCATAGGACATGGAATTTTTATACCAACTGTCTCCTTCACAGGGACTCAGCTCCATGGATTAACTATTCATGGGTATGCTTTGTGAAGAAGGTAATTTTTGTTTTATTTTCAGGGGTCAAACACCAGCAGAAGCAGAACTTCATTACCTTGAAAATGCCAAGAAATTGGCAATGTATGGTGTTGACTTACATCCAGCAAAAGACTCTGAAGGTGTTGATATCAAATTGGGTGTGTGTGCCTCTGGTTTACTTGTATATAGGGACAGGTTAGTTTCATGGAGTATGATAATCTATACTGACGATACTAAAACTGTGTTCTGTAAAATGCAAAGGAAAAAGAGAGTTTGCAGAGCAGTTATTTTTCATATATCTTAGTGCAATTTATTTTTTGAATAATTATAGTGTAAGAAGCACAAATACAGCTTTGGAGGCCCAGAAAGTTCATAGTTTTTCTGTGTATTAAATGGATTTGGAGGTGGAGGGGGGGGATGAAGCTCAAATGATGATGATGATGATGATAATTCATAATATTTAAAGTTGTCTGTTTCTTCTTAGGTTACGTATTAATAGGTTTGCATGGCCAAAGATATTAAAGATTTCATATAAGCGACATAACTTCTATATCAAAATTCGTCCTGGCGAATTCGAGCAATATGAGTCTACAATTGGCTTCAAGCTGGCAAACCACAGAGCAGCAAAGAAACTGTGGAAAGTTTCCGTGGAACATCACACATTCTTCAGGTTTGTTGAAATCAAAATATTGTGTGTGAAAAAGTCACTACCGTAGTAAGTGTGTGTATATAGAATTCAACAAGTTATACTCTCTTGAAGTTTATTACATTTGGGTTCAAGAATTTATATTCCTTACGTTGTTAAATTTGTAGGTTAATGACACCTGAACCAACGCAGAAAACAGGACTCTTTCCTCGGTTTGGCTCAAAGTTTAGATACTCGGGACGAACCCACTACGAGACAAAGAAGTCACTCATCGAGCGACCTGCACCTCGCTTTGAACGTAGTCTGAGTGGGAGAGGTCTCACTTCACGAAGTATGGATGGTGAGTTACTGCATTGTAAGACCTATCTTGTGTGAAAGGAGAAAAGGAAATGAGTTCTGAGTTGATCTTAAGGTTTATTATCATGCCTACAAGTACCTGCCACTGGTCACTGTCATGTGCGACATGAATCCAGTCCAGACCTTCTAACCCTGCTTCCATAAGATCTGTCTTAATATTATCTTCCTATGTCTTATGAGGGGGACTATTCTTTTCAGGCTTTCCATCCAAAATTTTGTGTGTATTTCACAACCCCACAAGCTTGTTATATCCTCTTATCTTATCCTTCATGATTTGATAATCCTAATAATACTTAATGAAGAGTACAAATTATGAAGCTCCACATATGCAATTTTCTATACCCTCCTATCACTTCATCTACACCTATACAGAACACAGGCAAAATTATAGTGTAAACTTTATGTGAATTTTTAAAAGATCAGCCTTTATATACCCATAACTGTTATAAACTACATACAGACATTTTTAATGAAAGCAGGCTGTCAGTTCCATATGTGCAGAATTTATAGTTGGTTCAATCAGGTATTTCTTTTTCTCAATCCTTAGAGGATATAGTATATTATCTTTAGATATTGTTATTTATGCCATCTAATACCATAAGGAGAACTAGGTAACTGAACATCTTCTTTCAAGAACCATAATTGATGGTGAAACCAAGGCCTTCACAAAATCAGTTGTCTGTGTACAGCTGCAAAATCTGCAGTAATAACAATATCAACAGTATGAGTCAAGTCCTGGAATAAGATTTGATATCAAGAATTATATAAAATAATCTTGAATTTACAGATTATTTGCTTTCAGTTAGGAAGGACATGAAGTGTCTTGGATGAACCTTGGTAAGTAGTACATGTTGATTTAATTGCAGCTTTGGCTGGCCCCAGACAGACAGAAGAAGACTTCAACAAGAGGCATACCATGTCACATCCTCCAGAACACATTCCAGATATGGAACACATTGATGAGAAACCAAAACCAGTCAAAGACCTGAAGAAGAAAGAAGAAAAGCTCAAGGAGAAGGTAAAGAAATACATTTATGTTCAGTGCCATTTGAAGAGATTAATTTCCTTTGTGCTGTTTTGTTTCCACATACAGGCTGTCTATGTGCTTTCTGCGGTTACAAGTGAGTGCAGTCTGTATGCAGTAACCATTCTGTTTTACTAAGTCTATCAAGCATAGTCCTTGATTCTGTTTTGCTCAAGACTTTATTCAGTTGTTGAAAACAGTACTTTGAGGTCTCCATAATGCATCCAATCAAGCAGTTGCAGTTTTCATCCTTTGTACATGTCTTGTTACCGCCAGAATTTTTGGTAATGACACAACTATTGCAAAACTCTTCCACGTGTCAAGATATTAAGGGTATTCAATAACTAGCATCTAAGGGTGTGTTGACACACTTCTTATATCCTGTTTGTTATTAGGACTAACTTTAGTTGTAGCTGATCTTCATATTTTTGGAGATGTATGAACACTTGGTGTTGTTTCTTGGTTTGTTGGTGCAGTGTTCAAAGAAAAACGGATATAAAGGATAAATATGAAAGGAAGATTTTGAAGTTTAAATTCAGTTTGATGTTCATACATCTCTTGTTATTTGCTTGCATGTACTAAGAATTTTATATTCAGAAAAGCTAAGAATTTTGCTGTTCATGGGCTTTTGTCACTCTTGTTTTAACTAACAAACTAACAACGATAGATACATGAGACAATATGCAGAAATAGAAAACAGATGAGAGGTTTATCTGAAAGCATGTTTTCATGCTATTCAGTTAAATTTGGATGTTAATTTAAAAGTTGTAGTGTAATATATAAAATTATATGTTTAAACCTAACTTTGGAGATGTTACTTTTTGTTTTGAAATTTGGTATTAATTTGATCATATTGTCGATGCAGTGTTGGGCATGGAACGTACGTGTTGCACTGAGCTTTTGTGAGTTAGAGCTGGAATATTGTTCTTAATATTAATAATGACTGGTTTTTCTCTGTAGGTCATAACTACTTTAAAATACTGTAACTTAGGTTTTTTTTGGTTTATTTGCATCATACTTTGGGAGTGTGCTGACATCTTGGTAAACATTGCAGTTGCCTTCTTCAGGGTTAATGTCTATAAGCGAAAGGCGAGGCATCGTGCAGGTCTGGCAGTGGGAGTTTAGTGACATGGTTGGGAAGGAGAGGAGCAAGGTGTGATATCCAGTGGAGAAGGTTGGGGAGAGGGAAATCACTTTCTTGGAACAGAAAATTATTTAGTCTGTTTCCAGCTAATTGTGAGCAGCTGCTGTATAACCAGCCAATCTCCCCAGTAGCTGTGTGACTGTGGCATGTTTATGGGCATTTTTGATGGTAGTGTTCTTTTGGGTGTTTTTCTTTCTTAATTGTTACATTGTAAGTGAAAAAAAGGTTTTGTTAGGTTATTCCTCTAAGAACATTTTTATCTGAAAGTTATACCAGTTACTATGAGTGCAATATCAAATATGTTATTAAAAATAGAGAATCATTATTTTAAGTTTTATTTTCAAGTATTGTGTTTCACCAAAATTAATAGTGTTCTTGTTATGTCTAGATTTGTCATTGAAAAAATTGCTTTATGCTTCCAGTTGTCTTGCCATTGCTTATGACATTGGATAGCCAAAGGTATCACATAGTTACCATTAGAGTTTCAGAACTTTTAACGTATTTAAAATCATTGTGACTAAGTATCAGCAAGTTAGAAGTACCAACATAACCAAACTTTTGTGTTGTTTGTAAGTGCAGTTCAGTGGGGATATGCAACAGTGTATACAGTGTTAGAAAAGGTAATTTTGTTTTAAATTTTGCATTGGAAAATGTAAAGATTATGTTACACTTCAAACAGTCTGTTTCCTACACGTGTGTTGTCTCATGTTAACTTGGTCACAATGGTGTGTGCTGGCCTCAGTTGGTGCGCAAATCAAGTACGGGCACAACATCAGCCAGTTCATCGAGCTCTATGGAAGGGGAATATGAGGCACAGGGACAGGAAGAGGCTCAGCAGCAGGCAGATGGCAGTGAATCGGAAGGCCCGGGAGGCGAACCAAAACCAAAGGTAGTCCATACATGTGGCCCATGTGTGGATATTGCATCATACTGCAGCATCAGCTTGGTGGTTTCTGTTTGTGTTGTCTTCAGTTTTCCTTGAAATGTGTAGACTAGTCCATGTGTCCAGCACTGCAGGTACCTGTAAATGAGTTCTACACATTAGGCATCTTCGATTTCGTCTATATTGCAGTTTGGAAGCTTCCAGTACGATTCATTAATATAAATGTGAAGAAATTTGTTACCTGGTGAGAATGAAGAAGTTACAAATCAGAGTTCATATTATGTTCGGAATTTTCTAAAAAAAAATGTGAATTAGCATTCCTCCTGTAGTTCTTATAAAGTTTTATTGTAAATTATTATAAATTTTATTTCATTATAAACTGATTGCATCATATCCATCATCTCATCTCATCTTGAATTGTAACTTTATTAGTTAGAATGGGAATGACTGCTTCTGGAATAAGGTATTTACGAATCAGGGGAGTTGTTAGAATAATGGTTTTCTGAAGTGCACATACAAGACTAAACAAGATCTGTTCTATTTGTTTATGTATGTTCTGATGGGTCCTTCCTGTGGTGAGTCTCTTCCACATTAACAATTACTCAGTACTCGCCTGTGTATGATGTCTGTTGAGGTTTTTGTTTTGCATACAAATAAGTTAAAAGCTTAATGTAGTTTTGTTTACAGTGTTCAACATATGGGCTAGCAGGGCACATTACATTTTTATTGCATTACTGTGTCTTCTGTAACTTGTTTCCTATATTTATAATATATTATTTTTATTTCACTTTTGGAGAGAAACACCATTTTGTTGGCAGCTTGTCGCTATACTTCTCCTTAGCAGTGTTTATATAGTTTATTTTGTGTTTTGTGACATGTAATTTGTTATTCATTTCTGTTTCATTTTAGCTTACCAACATTTTTTACAGGTTAGGTAGAAATGTGATGAATTGTGTACTATTTCTCTTCCAGGATATAGATTAATTGTATGAGGTTGACTGGAAAATACCAGAATAAGGGTTTATTATGATGTTCTTGGTAGATTTCTGTCTTCTGGGTTCTTGTGCTGTGTAGACTGGTCGATGTTAACCAACGTTTCAGAGGTCATACTGCCTCCATCATCGCCCTGATGACGGAGACAGTATGACCTCTGAAACGTTGGTTAACATCGACCAGTCTACACAGCGGAACAACCCAGAAGACAGAAATCTTCATACTCACCACTGTGAAAACCTCAAATCTTACATGTTCTTGGTAGTTTGAGATTTGTCTTTGTAGAATTGTAATTGAACTTCTCTACACTTTGTAATAGCTGAAAAAGTATGGAAAATGTAGCATTCTGCCACAGATGGTCAAGTAGGTACTCAGATATGAGGAATGTTCATTTGATGTTGCTGTGGAGTTGACAGGATTCACATGCAGATGTTTAAGGAATGTTTCTAAATGAACACTCAGATATGTGACACAGTTGCATGCCACTGTATTAATGTGGAAAAAATATAAAGGTAACTGGGTGTGTAGAGGTTTTCAGAGTATTTTAATATGAAGCAGGACTGCAGTGGGATCTGTTGGTCTAGATGTCAGCAACATTCACATGTTTAGTTTTGTTACGTAACTTCAGCCAAGATGTTTGCCTGGGGGGATCTGTTAATAAGGTATAACCAGTAGTTGCTATGATGCAGAGCGGTAGCTATGTCAGTACTGCAGTAAGGCAGTTTATCCCATGAGCCTGCATTGGTCATTTCTGTAACTTTTTTGGCTTTCCAACAGAAACCTGTGGGTGGAGTAGCAGTACTACCACCTGGAGCATTAAATTTTGGAAAATCCAAAAAGAAAGACAAAGAAAAGGATAAAGATGCTGAAAAGGATCTTCAGGAGGAGAAGGAAAATCGAAACGAGTTGAATAATGAAAATGAAGCTGACTTGATTAATGATGACTCTGTAATCAATACTTCAGCAGAGGAGAAGTCACCACTGGGGAAGAAGGACAAGAAGGATAAGAAGGACAAAGACAAAAAAGAGAAGAAAGAAAAGAAGGATAAAGATAAAGATAAGAAGGAAAAAGATAAGGAAAATGAGAAAAAAGATAAGAATAAGGAAAAGGATAAAGAGAAAGAAAAGGACAAAGATAATAAGGAAAAGGATAAAGCTAGAGATATAGATACAGATATAGATAAGGAGAAGGAGAAGGAAAAGAAGGAGAAGTCCAAAGTCAAGGTAGGAAGTACTTCAATTAATTTTAGTACTTTTTACACATACACATGATTTTTAGATACACATGCTTCATCTCATGTTACTTTAATTTATTTTATAAATTATGTTACTATACTTGCATATTCCAAGAGGACCACATGTAAAAGTTTCTTATATACTTCTGTGTAAATATAAAGTGCATTAATCTTTAAGATGTGTTTTATGTTTGGTAACAGAACTCTCATTCACCATGTTGGGAACATGAAAAGGTCTGTTATTTCATTGCAGCTTGTACCTGCTGTGAGGCTTCCTATCATAAATGAATATATAATTTGCAGGTGTCTGTTCTCCAACCCCAGTTTTCGGGGAACTTGCTGTTGGAAATTACATCTGAAAACCAATATATGTATAACAGACATGTTATTTCTCAGAAATTCTTAATCTAAAAATAAACATGTTTTAGTTTAGTTTATTTAGCAGTTTTATCAACTTGTACAATTCACATCTCGTGTACCAAAGATGGTAGAAAATGGAGAAGAACAAACGTGTTTTGTTTTCAATTGCCTTGAAAGGTTGAAGTCATTATTTTTTAATTATACAATATAGCCATATGGTACTGGAAAATATATACAATAAATTATGTGTTCTAAACTAGAAGGTGGAAATTAAAACAGAAAAGACTGAAGATTTGTATTTTATCCACCTTTCCCAGAAAAATAAAAAAAATGTTATTGGAATAGTTATTGAGCACATCATAAATATGTTCACAAGAAACTTGGATTATATCATTATCTCCGTGTAGGCCTGATGGGGAATGTAATGCCACAACCATGTAGATCACAAGGTGTAAAAGGTTGCAACATGTTTAAAAAATCATGCACATGTATGCCTGTTTAGATTTTCATATTAAGGTAGCATGATCCAACTAGTAGTCTACAGACCTTGTCTGGTTTAAGACCACTTGTATGCAGGCCTGCAAAATTATTTGATTTGTTACTGGCTACTACAAGCTCATCTATTTTCTTTATTCTGAAGGATTAAAATAAAGCACATGAACATAGTATAACAGGCTGCATTTTTATTGTGATTACATTGATGTTACTGTACTGGAAACAAAACTATATGTGAATTCTCTTGGAATATATGTATAGACTTGGTATACAGTAGAGTATATGTGTATAGATGTCATATGCCTTTACTGCATGACTGCTCTTTCACCATGTTCTGAATGCATCTGTTTGTCTTATGTCATATGACATAAATCAATGACATTGTCTGTCAGGTGTCCCCCCCCCCCAGTATCAGATTATAATTGTTGATAGAAAATATGCTGTTGCATTGATCATGTCTACGTATTACATTAAAACTCCACCTATCCTGATTCTGGTGTATATGTTGCTCACTGCTCTTGCATTCCAGCACATAATACACATATGCTAACCATCTATGCCAAATAAGAGTTTTATATTATTTTTTGAACTGGTTAGCACAACATTAACACACATGACTTGCTTATAGAAAGTACCCAGTTTAAATCCTGGTCAGGGACTGGCTGTCTTGATTGTGGTAAAACAGGGTTTTTCATTTCTTTCAGGAGATTGCTGTGATAGTATCTTACATAGTTTACAAACTTTCATCACTTACAGTCGTACTATAATCATTTGGTACTGCAGAACCTCAGAGGCTCTGGTTACTCCAAATTCAGTCAGCATTAGTACTTGAAAATGCACACAGTATGAGTTAATTTTTCATAATTAAGATATTTTGTCTTCATAAGCTGAGACAAAGTGGCAGAACATTGAAGCAGAATACAAAAAAATTGCATGTAATTATATTATTGTTAATATTTTGTCCTTGGCGCACCCAGTTCTGATTGTGAAATGTGGCCAGAGTAGCATTATTTTTAATAGTTCAAATATTTGTAGTCATTTATTTTGTTTATAGTAATGCCTCATGCATCTCTGTATATGACATGATAAAACTGAAGGTACGGAAGCATTTAACTTTGTTGTGAAGTATACTGTTGCATGAAGTACATATTTGCTTCCAATAGTGACACTCAATACACAATTTTGTTATGTTGTGTGTAGTAGAGAGTATTAACTTTTTAAGCATGTTATGTTTTATTTCTGCATGTTTATTTTTTTCTGAAATTCAGAGCCCTGGTTTCCTGTTTAGCAAGAGTCCAAAGGATAAAGATAAGGACAAGTCGAAGGATAAAGATAAGGACAAATCAAAGGATAAAGATAAGGACAAATCAAAGGATGATAAAGATAAGGACAAAGTCAAAGGATAAAGACACATCTAAGGATAGTAAAGCTTCTGGTAAAGATAAGAAAGATAAGAAAAGTAAAAAGAAAGGAAAGGATGGTGAAGAAAGTGAAAATGATATATCATCAACTCAGACCTCTCCCGAGAAGGAAAATGACAAGGAAAGGAGTCCCACAGGAGCTCAAATGTCTCCACTTGGAGGAGGGCCACCTCAGGGTTCCCCACAACTTCCAGGTTACACCCGAGAGTATGACTATGATGCTGATGATAAAACTCCAGCGGGAAAAAAATTTGTACCTCAAGGTCATGGATTTACATATGAAGAACGTGATAGACAGGATCAACTTCTTGCTGGCACAGGAGAGGAAATCTCAGAACTACAACGATCTCCCACATCCAACAAACGGGCTACTGGCTTGGCTTTTAATTATGCCCCAGGTGAGGATAGAAAAGTGGTGGAAACTGCTGAAAAACGAAAGCTTGTAAGTGAAAAGAACGCTGCTATTAACAAAGATGGTGTGACTCCAGTTGGTATCAGAACTCCTGGTTTAGACTATGTTGAATCTGCTGCCAGAAAGGAACAAGCCAAGGCAGGTCCAAATGCTCCAAATGCTGGTCAAGACTCAGGTCCATTTTATGATACTGAAGGCAACATCTCCCCTGGTGCAAGGAGAGCCCTGGATATGCGTTCAGGTGGTGGTTTCATGCCACATCAGCAGCAAAAGAATGCACAAGCAGGTTATAATCAGGACAGTTATAAGTCTGGTCAGTTAGGACAGTATCCAGGTCACAATGTTGCTAGTTACGATGAAGGTTTAGGTGGTGGTAAATTCCCATATGGAGCAGGTGGCAAAGATGATACTCCATTGTCAGGTTTCCCATATGGGACTGGAAATGATCAGTATGAAGGTTCAAGAACATTACCTTCTAGTGCAGCATTCATTGCTCATGAATCAGGGCGATATCCAGCTAATGGTGCAGAGGAGGAAAACCTGAGAAATCAGCGTGGTGGTTACTTCACTCCTGGACAGGCTGGTGAGTCCTTTGGTGGTCATGGTGATAAAGATGGGGAAAGACCAGCTAATGCAGCAGCCATGGGTGGAGTCGCAGTTGTGTCTGGAGCACAGTTCAAGAAGCCGAAGAAACACGGAAGTGGTGCTGGAGGTGACAGCTCTGCAGAAAGTTACGGAGAAGAAGGGTCTAGCAGTGATGATCTTTCAGATTATGCAGAAGGAAAAGGAGAAAATGTCCGTGATCTTCAAGGTGTAGCTAAGCTAAAGTTCCCCAAAACATCAAAGAAGTCTGGAAAAGGAAAGGATTCATCTAAGGATTTGAGTTCACCTGCTTCTTTAACAGCTCCTAAAATTGTTAAAACAACAACAAAACAGATGGTAGTGAAAGATAAAGAAGGCTTAACACAAAACATTGAAGAGAAAGTGGAAGATCTCACGCCTGGAGGTACTGGAGCCATTACAGTTTCCACACATGTCAATAAGGTGACGTATGGTAAACTTTTTATATACATACTATATATATATATTAATACATTATATGTCATAAGAAGTTGTATAAGGAAGGGATCAACATTTTTAGCATTGTGCCTTGCATAATTTAATTTGCACATGCTTTGTTAAATCAGTACTAATAAAATTATTGTTGAAAATTAAAAGTTTAGGTTAGCTAGCTTGTAGAACTTGAAGTGTGCTGACTTTTGCATGTGCTTTATTCATATTTTCTTCATTGTTGTGTAAATATTTCGTAGCATATTTTAACATGGATTCAGACCTTGTGACTTTCCACTACCAGGTAGTCAATCAGTACTGATATCAGTGTTGTAAAGCAAATGCATTACATTGGCATGTTAACAGCATAATTGTGAATTGATCATATTATTTTGCACTTGTGTTAGCTGATAACTGTTTAATAATTTTGTACATCATCTTGTAGCTGTTTATTTTGAACATTGATTTATTTATTTAAAAGCCAGCAGAAATAAATTTTTTTATAAATTTTCAAGCCATATTCTGATCACCATCAGTGACTATAGTGGCTTGTAAATATAGGCCTATGTATTCATATAGACCAACATATGCAATTTGTTGGATATAATTTTTACATAATTATAGCCATTACTTTGAGAAAGAAATGTTTATATTTTAACGTGAATTTTTTTTTGTAAGTTTAGGTTTGAATTCGGAGTCTAATTATTGTGCCAGTCTTCTTGTTTGTCCATTTCTAGCACAGAGCTGAGAATTATATCACAAAGCAGGCATCATAACTCTGTCATAATTAGATATAAGCAGTGTTACATTTAAAGGTAGTTTGTAAATTCGGAAATGTGATGTTTTCTTACCATCTTAGGCAGAAGGTATGGATGATGGTCGTTCTCCATATGTAACAGCCACTGCGGTAACAACCAGGACAGCTACAACACATGAAGACAAAGAGAAGAATGCAAAGACTAGCCAGGTACTTTGTATTATAATAGTTGTTCTAGCAGTAAAGTTCAATTTTCCTTAAATACATTCTAAATAACAAAACTTCTTTATTAATGAAGAATGTGATGTAACATAGGACATTTCTCTTATTTCAGCATTTGAAATTTGTCATGAAATTCAAAGTTATTAGTATCTTCTGTGTACAGTTTTAGTAACTTAGCTTATGGGGTCAGGCTGTGTCATATGTTATCGATAGCTCAACTTTTCGGTTGCCATCGTCATCCAAATATATAGGGGCAGGGCATTTTTGGAAGCCTTATGTAGAGCAGGCAGCAGGTAGTGAGTATTTCATGATGCTTATTGGTGGAGCAGAGGAGCATTGATGGTGCTGATTGGTGGAGTGGAGGAGCAGAGGATCACAGATGGTGCTGATTGGTGGAGTGGAGGAGCATTGATGGTGCTGATCAGTAGATCATAGGAGCTTCATCAAATCATCCTCACCTGCCCTATATAAGGCTTCCAAAAGTGTCCATCCTGTACAGTCGCCCTGAACATGGCAACTGCAGTGTTTTCCAAAACATTTGACAGCTATCATCATTTAATGTGGTCTAGCCCTAAAAGCTGAGGTTACACATTGAATTCCAGCCACAGAAACTTATGGACCAGAATGTATACAATTTATTTTAACATGTATCATATATATCTCATAACATATGAATTTGCTATGTACTGTACCACTGCTTTACCAGTAATGGTAATTGTGAAGCTGTGACACTTGCTGTTTCAAATCACTGACAACTAACTATGTAATGTTATGAATTGTAATAGATGTTGTGTGGTATGGGACATAGGTTGAAGAGAAGACTGTGGCAACAACGATGACAACTAGTGCCACTCGGCAGGAGCAGCGAGTGGTAACTCAAGAAGTTCGTGCCACCTCTACTGTGCTTGCCAATGACTCTCAGGTAAAGTACACATTTTAGTCGGTAGGTAATGAAACAACAAACAAATTTCTAGTTGGAGAATCCTCATCACAGTCAAGGTACTTCTGCTTTGGACATCAGAAATGAACTTTGCATAGAATGGAAGCAAGAAATAAAAAAAGTTCAAGCATAACTCACAGTCTACTTTCCTGTTACACAGATGTCTTCCTCGCCCTATAAATTGTGTGTTGTTAATGTCAATTTTAGGTATTGTAAGTTTATAATCATAATGAACAACAATTTAGCTTGGAGGATAGCACGCTGGACTCATGCACAGATGATTGTACAGTTGAATCCTGGTTTAGTCTGAATTATTTTATTGCTTACAGCCATAAATATGTTACTAAAAAAATTATAGATATGTTTATCATTTATCTCCATATGAAATGCCAAGGTATCTACTCTTGTGGAACATAAAATTCATTTCTGATATCCAAAAACAACTTAATACACCCTTTTTCTCACACTGTAACACTGCATGAGATATTGCTGCATTTACATGGTGATTGATGTTGTAATATTCCACATGTAATTTGAAGTTTGAATTTTTGCAGTTGTTGAATATGTTTCCATGAGTTGAGCTTGACCTGTTCCTACAATAGAAGTACAAGTAGTACATTTCATTTGCTCTGTTTGGAAATAATAAATTAAGAAGTTGCATCACAATAAATTTTTAATTATATGTAATTCTGAATATTTATTTTACATTGATTATAAGTTATTTTTAATTCTTTATTATTCTTAAACACCCATTTTGCTAAGGCTGAGCTTTCTCTTCTATGGTAATGTTCCTATATGATGCTTGATAATTGTTATCTCCAGCCCTTTACACAGTGCTGCTTGAAATACAACAGCAAAGTGTTTATAATTTACTATAATATAATCAGTAATTGTACATTTAAATTTCTTTTAATTGTACACAGTCTGTAAGGTATGTAAAGCTTGGACAGGTTGTGGTCTAGCTTACTGGCTGTTTTCTTTGGCTTGCAGGTGGTGGTGCAGGAACCACTATGTGTCTTGGTTACAGTGTTCATGCCATTTTATCTTCATGGAGCTGTGATTTGTTATGGAAACATTTTTCAGTAGTTAGTCCACTGTGAAGCCATAAAATATATTTAGGTGACACTAATGTATTTGTAGAAGGGGTACAGTATCATCTAGAAACATTATTTTGAGATGCTGGTTCCATGAATAATAATAAACCTGGTGCGAAGCAGGGAAAGGTTTTTACTTTCATAAACATGGAGTATATGTGACGAGCAGTACTGGCCACTCCATAGCTCATTTTCATGCAATAGCACCTTGACATTTTTGACAAAAACAGTAAGCTGATTGCCATGCCAAGTCTTAATTTTCATCCATATGAAATTCATATTATTAGCAGTTAAACATTGAAATTCCAATAATATAGTGGTCTTGCTATTAATTTTTGGACTTTTTGAATGATAAACCAGAATATTATGAACACATTATGTTCAGATGAAACTCATTTAAATTTGTTGAACTACCTGAAGCAAACCATGACAGTGGTCACATCAGAATTTATGCCAGTAAACTAGGCTGCACCCTGTGCCGTCAGAATGTTATAAATAATGTGTATCAGTAACTGAACAGCAAGATATATTATTTCTGTGTGGAAATATTTTGCAGTGCTTGTCTCTCAAGTAGCACTTTGCACTACTCACCTCTGATGGTATCTGGGTGGGCAATTATAATTTTTTATGGTTGTGTGGCTTTATTCCTACACTGATTGGCCGCTAAGTGAGCTAACTGTTGGCTTGTGCTGGCATGTGGTGCTGCTGCTTTGTTTATCAGGTGTTTTCTAGACGCTCAAGTACTTCGAGCACAAGCTCAAACGACTCGGGAACTCCAATTGACCTCCTTGATGAGCCATCCCTACCCCCTGGCGGTAGTGCTGGCCTGTTTTATGCAAATGGTGCAGTGGGTTACCAGGTAAAACTAGAGACTGATATTTGAAGTCGATGTGTATAGTAAACCATTGTTGTATCTTGTTTCTTCCTTATTGATCTCCATTTGTATACTGAACATTAAGTGCAATATAAAAACTTCATTGTAGCCTCCTGTTGATAAGATGTAAATGTTAATATAGTGTTGGCATCTTCTTCCTTGAGGCAGGTGCATGATTCTGCAAGATATATAGTAAGGGGCATGCATGAGACAATTTCATGGAATATCTGGTTTCATTCAAACTACTACTGGAGCCAGATACAAAATGTTATAATGATAATGTTGTTTGTAAGATACTGTGCAGTTATATTCAGCTGCCCAGGTACTTTAGATATCCATTCTATTAATTGTTCCATCAACAATAAGTAAGAAGCATTGTTTTATTTATTTCTAACCATGTCAAGTTGCAGTTAGTTCCAACCAAGTAAGGTACTTAAAGACTGTTAGAGACTGCAGAGTTTTGTTGCTGTGACACAATACTGTTTACACACAAATAACTTTGCTGTTATAATTGCAATCAAGATTTGAAATGCAAAGTTTGGCACATTCTTAAATTAGATTAAATACACCTTCATAGTTTAAATATTTTAATTCTGCAGACTGTAGTTTTCCTTTGAAAGGGAATTGCATATTTTAACAGGAACTGTAGGTGCAGAAAGACCTCATGGGACTTTCACTGCTGTGAAAGACTCAGCAAGGAGAGGCCATAATTAATCTTGTATGTTCTTTGCCATAAATCCTTAGTTTAATTGTAAATATAGTTGGGATTTAACCTGCTACAACTCAGAATAATACAAAGAAAATTGTTTATGTCATTCAATTTTGAAACATTTACCAAAATACAGAAAGTGCTAATAAATTATCTAAAAAGATATGTGGCCTGCTTACAGTACAAATCCACTGCAACACAGTTCTTCCATGACATTTTTGACAGTACAAGTGATGATTTAAAGTGGGAAAGTATATAAGCTTCTTATATTCTTTGCTGTGTAAAACTTAGTTCACATTAAAGCTCCCTCCAGATGCATTTCCCATTCATAGAAGGGCTATATTCATGCCCAGATTTAAGTATTATAGAATGTTAGAGGGAAACTGTTTATCATGAGGGAAGATCAGAATTAATTTTGGGAACTTCATTACCAGTTCAGGAATTATTGTGATTCCTTTCCAGATTTCTGAAGGTATAATTTTTCTACAAACAATTTTATACAATCAGAAAATTTGATGCCATACACTAATAGAATGGCAGAAATTGAAAGTACTACGTAAATGCTAAGAATGATAGCTAGATATAAAACTTGAGTCACTGGGAATGGAGTATATTCAGTTATTTAAATTCTTTATTTGTTATTGTTAGGAAGTTTTCATTTCTGGGACTTGTAGCACATATGGGATAACATAACCTTACAAAACTCTGAAAAAGAGGTCACTTGGAAAATTACATAGGTTGGAATTATGTAGGGAAGAGTGTAACATTCTTTTGTTACAAACTCACAAACAGCCTGGCAATGGTGGACCACAGCCTATTGTGCAGACAGAGAGCATGGTATATAGTGACCCTTCAACTCTTGGGGACCCTGACCTACACAGCACAACACAGGTTCCATTGGTTGCAACAGAGACCCGTAAGGTAGCACTGGAATCAGAGGATGGAGCATATAGTGCCACAGGAGAGATTGTCAGTTCTCAAACCATCAGCAGCAAGACACGTACTGTCGAGACAATCACGGTATGTAGTACCTCATCTGTAATACAAGCATTAGCTTTTAAATACACTCTGTATTCTTTTTCCACATAATATTATATATGGAAAGGTGCATACATAGTGAATACAACTTCAAATTCTTTAACTGTATCTGAAGCCATGACACATTTCATAATTCTTCAGCAATGCTTGACATCCATGGAACATCCTAAAATGTGCATGCATTAGTTGAAAAACTGTTCCATAATTTGGATATTTTGTTTATGGGTTGAAACATATTAGAAGAGTTGGTAGTCTGAGCTAATACACATTGGCTGGAAGTTATTTGTGTTTAAACTCTAAAATAGTGTTTGTTGGAATTTTTATGATGTGATCAATATCTGTCATACATGCACTTGTTTATGTTGTGACATAAAGTTGTCACACAACACTAGAACTTTTTTTTGCCAAGTTTTGTCAGAAAATTTGAGACTTTCATTTGCATAGTAGACTGCATAAAATGCACACACACATATATATATCCCCTACTATTATTCAGATGACAAAATACTATTCATTCTTCACTTCCCTTCTGGCTCATAACAAGAAATAGAACTACACGTGTAGAAGAAGTCTGCTTTTGTTAGAACTCTGATATATTCAGAATCCAACTGGTGGTAATTACAAGAATTATTCTTTTGTATTTGCTTTGTGTCAGTTATAGTTATGATCTGAATGTATTGGGAAGCTGGACCCATTTTCTGTTTAGTACAAGACGGAGCGTGATGGTGTGGTTGAAACTCGAGTGGAGCAAAAAATTACAATTCAGTCAGATGGTGATCCAATTGACCATGACAGGGCATTAGCTGAAGCAATCCAAGAGGCCACAGCCATGAATCCTGACATGACAGTGGAGAAAATTGAGATCCAGCAGCAAACAGCACCTCAGTGAAACCACTAGTGAGTACAATAGAGCTCTCTTGTCTGCTAAAGCAACTTTTTGCATGATCTAATGACAAGTTTTCAGATTTGTTATATGAACTTGTTCATATAAACAGGCAATTGAACTGTGTTGAGACATGTTTTCCTATTTCCTCATTCTTAAACATGCATGCATGTATAGTATAGTATATTAGGACTTAGTAATTTATATAAATTGCATTGCTTATGTTCAAGACTTTTTTCATTCAGATTTGATACAGTTAAACCTGTTAATACAGTGAATACGTATTGCCTGTAGTACTTTCGAGGATTAGTGCTACGTACATATGTACCTGAGTTTCAGTAATAACATTGAAATGCCTTATGATATGTAAAATTGAATCAAGTGCCATTGTTTAAACATGTATTGCAGTTTAATTTTTGTATGTAACTGCAAGAAGTAAGGAATAAGTTTTAAGGAAACAGTACAGGGTTTTGAGAGCAAATATTTTGAACTTTGATTAGTACATGTGTGTTTACTTGTGCAATAGCATTTTCCTTTCTCTGCCCATTTTGTTTGTATTTACTTGAAGAAAGTAATGTGTTTGTTAATTTAGTATTTGTTTTCTAGCATTCTATTTTTCTTACTTAGTCTTAGATATTAACATTTATTTGAAGAAAATGTTTGAACATGTGGCTGTGTGGTGTTGTATATGCGTGTAACATGACTTAGCATACATACGTAGCTTTAATGCAGTTGCAAGTATTTACTTACTTTACTTAAGCCATCCTCTTGAACCTGTCAGTGTCAAGGGTGCAAGTATTTACTAAGTCCTAACATCATAAAGAAACTTGCCTTAATAAGGTAACTCATTTTTGCAGGTGGTTGGAAGTTCATCATTCTCATAATCACAATAATGGTGTGATATGGTAAGTGACAAATGTGTGTTTCAGAATGAAACATACTACAGAAGTGATATCAGAGTATAATACTGCTTCTGTTTATAACAAAGCAAGACAGTAATTTCAGTTTGCACATTTCTTTAAAAGGAACAAGGCAACATGGAGTTGAATCAGTCATCTATGGCTGTTACTCTTCTGCTTGCAATTTTATGTTATGTGCATTTAAAAATGCATATTTGTAAATTATGTTGTCAGGGTGGTAGCACATGCACATTTACAAGACAGAGGATGGAAATTGATTACACTTTCAATATCGATGTTGAAAATAAAATATATTTATTTTATTGCTGGTGTATATTATAGCTACTAATTGTAGGAAAGAGTTTATTTTAATACTTGTGAAATTTTTGTGAATGTGAATTTCATAAAGAGTACAAGTACTAGTAATAAATAGCTGGCAAGAATGTGAAGAAATTATGGTGAAACCTGTTGTAACTGCTTCTCTACCTATCCACAAATGTTACTAAACAGCAATGTTATGTAGCATTTTGCAAAATGTAGTGTCTTAGCTCTTTCAGTTTTTAAGAAATTTCCTTTTTTCAGTTTGTAAAATTGCTTTCTGTGCATTGTCTCTGCATGTAAACCATAGTTATGTAAAGTGAATGTTAAACTGGTAGTGGTTGTCCTATATGCTATGTGTCTATACAGGTTTCATTATAATGCCACATTAGATATATTTTTCGTGTTACTGTTTAAATTTTATCATGAGGACTTGTCTTCAAACAATGCTGTTTGATTTTTGTATTCGGGTACAAATTAATTTGCCTGTGTTGTAATTAGAATACCTGTATAAATATTTTGCAACTCAGAAAAGTAGGAAACATCGGTATTTAAACCTAATCATTTTCTTTCCTGATTTAATATTCCTGCTATATGTGTAGAGAGGCAGCTTGATATTTTTTTGTGTATAGACTTAAAAGTAAGTGAATTTTTAAGTCAATAAGGTACATATATTATGGTTGAAGGATGAAAATAATAATAATATATATAAATATAAAATATTTTTGTCTTTAAGAGAGTACACAAGCCAAAAAAATTGGCTAAAAGGGGCATTTATTAATATAAAAATGAAGGCTAGATTTTTATCAGAATTCATGATATGGTTAACAGTTGCTCAGTCATTTCCATCATGAATTTAGATACAGAATTTGGTGCTTTATTTTCATATGCCTTAGATACAAAGCTCTTTGAAGCCAATATCAGTTTGTGGGTGATGTGAATGATGCAAACCAGAAAAACTAAGTTTCTTTTATTTTATGCATACTGGGATATTTGCAAGCCTTGTGCTTTCATTTACATTTAAGGTAATCTAATAGTGGTTCATGTCTGGTAAACAGTCTCTCACTCAAGTCATTCACATGGAGAGCACCTTCTTAAGATTTCCCCTTGCACATTTAATGTGCATTAAGGTCTGTTAATGCTCGGAAGGAGGTTAGAATTCCTAGATTTATGATGAGAGCAGAAAGAATGTTGGTGAAAGGTTCAAATCAGGAAAGGGGTGAATCACGCTAAAGCATAACTGATCAGATCTTTAACATGGACATTGAGTTATGTTGCTTTTTATGGGCAAAGATTTGACTGACAGTAGTCAACATTTTGTGGCAGCTTGTTTATATTGTACTGATAGCTAAATAACCAAGTTTCAGGCATTATGTTGTCACTATTCCGCTTTAAACCGGCAAATGAAAAGCAGATCAGAAATGCGATTAAATACTTCATATATCTTACTGATAAAACACTAAAATTTATAGCAGACTATCTATACAGATCACAAGTATGTGTTCACATTCCATTGTTTTTGGATATTTTTTTTTCTGTTTGTGGTAGCCTTCATTACCTGTAAAGAGGGAATGGAATTCAAGAACTTATACTTTGTAGGTATATGAGTCAGGAAATATATGACCAACCTCATTTCATTCATGTCAATTCAAAGGGTACCAACTGCTTATATGAACAGCTAATTCTTTCATTCATTTCATAATATAAGTTTAGTCTTGCTGTGTTGTGGCTATAGATGAATATTGGTATGAAAGTTACCGTACATAAAATAAATTCTGAGTCTTCATGTTTCAGAAGGATCAGACTAAGGCACTTTTATTGTCTGAATATGCCATTTCTTCTATTACCATCATTCAGATCATCATGAGTATTTAAGGAGAAATGCTTGCTTTACATCTGGCTGTAGTAGTACTTCATCGTTTAGTAAAGAAGAAGAAAAGGCAAATGGTACAGTAGTTGAGTTGTATTTTTTTAAATAATCTTTATACTGTAAATGTTTTATCTGTATCTGAGATACTTTTACTTCCTTTCGTATTATTACTCTTATTAATATTAGTTTTTATATATAAATATAACAGTATGACATTTAGTTTAGGGAAAAAAAGTCTGTGCATTGTGTTCTGTCTTATTTTTAATGTTGCACAAAAGCCTTGATACATGATCCAAATATTGATGTATGTACAAGATGACTGTTACCTATGTAATTTTATGCAGTCTCGAGGTGTAAAGCTTTCTTCTAATTAGTAATTACAATTTATTTAGCTTCAAGTCAATGATATATGGAAGCTTCTAATTTAAACTGGGCAGAAATGACAGTAATTTTTACATAATTAATGTGTTCTAGACCGTTAATAAAATGAATTTCAATTTGGCTCACATACAGTCATATAAAATCAAACAATTTATTATCTTCAGAGTTTCATGTTCAGCCAAAATGAAATCTGCCTGATACATTTCTCCGTGCTATAAAGTACTGCTTGACTTTGCTCTGTAAACCACCCAGCATACTATTTTATACTGACTTCCAGCACTAATGTAAATGCATTTAATAGTTCATTTAGATAAATTTATTTTATATATTAGCTGAACAAATAGATTTACTTATTGTTTTACTATTAAGTGTGTGCGGGTAACAAATTTGTGCTTGGCTGTAAAAGGAATACATGAGGTGGTTGATTACATTATTGTGTATTATAATGACATTAATTGTATTCAGACAGCTGCCTTTTGGTTTCTGCCTTTCATTACATATGAAGTTTGTAAAATTTGTTAGTTTACCCAAACAAGGTTTAAGCTGATATGTGGGTGTGACAATAAAATGGGGCTTACATATGATGGCAGCTATGGATCAGTCAGGATATTTTTTGGCTGTTAAGTACGCTAATATGAGTTTCTTCTTGCATGTTCTGCCCATTCACCAGGAAAAAGCATTAAGGTGGCTTTCGTTTTGAATACACGCTGGTTTTTGTTTGTAAGTAGGAAATATTGAAAATAATGTTTACCCCCTCTCTCCACCTCTTTTTTGCTTATTGTAAAGAAAGATCAGATGTAAATCTGATTATTTTTATGTTTAAAAACAGAGCATACACAATGCACATAAGGGAAGAAATAAAAAACTAAAAATGCTAGTGTGTTGTAAGTGCTTAGTGATAAATAAAAATTCACTTTTTATATAATGAAGTTCATTAGTTAAACAGTGGATGCTTCTACAACATACCTTCATGTACTGGAACCTAATGCAGTTTAACTAAATATTCATTATGTACAGAAATCTTTTATTGTAATCCCAGTTCAATTATCAGAATGTTCTGAGTTGTATTAATTTCTGCATGTCATCAAATTGCCATATTACATGAGTCCTTTGTTATTGTTTCAAGGCATGTTATCAGGTTGTAGTGATTTCGTTCAATAAGTTATCATGGACTTGTGGACAGCCAACAGGAGGTGAATATCCAGCTTGAAATACAGGACAACACTATAAATATGTACATCATGATGACCCAATGAGGATTTGAGTCTGTACTGACTTCCTGGCCCTTGTTTGTTTTTACATCACTATTTCCTTGCTGCCACAAGTGTTGAGGAACAAGTGAACTTGATGTTGGAAAATTGTCCACCTCCAAACCTGCCAAAAGTTGGTAAATGATTATTCAAGGGACAACAGGCAGTGTATTACATCCATATCCATCTTTGAGTTTGGTCCAATCCTTTGCTATATGAAACACAGTAGAAAATATTCATGACTGCTGTCATACTTATAAAATTTGTGGTATTACAAAATTTTTAATTAAATGATGTTTAATGTTGGGATACACTTCACAATTAACAAGAAGCATTTTCTCCTCTGAATTACATGACTTCTAATTTGCATGCTCTCAATCTGAGTTCTTTATTATTGTATTCTAATTATGTTTATTTTGTGTTTATAACATACATGCCTTTCAAGTTTGGAACATTAAACTGTTGCATCGTTTGCTTGCATAATCACTTGAGGTTGCTTTGAGTTCAGCATCATGTAAGATAGAATGTGTTATTGATTTCATTACTCCAGGAGTAAAATTCTTGGTTAGGTCTGAAAAGCAAGACAGTGTGAAGTATGAAATACTTGCTTGATATGAAGACTTTTTAAATGAGTAGCACAAGTTCCACAGAGTGGTAGCAGAACTCACTTGCGATGTCTGCAGGTAATGTAGGGTTACTATGGTTTATAGGTGAAGCCATTTTGTGTCCTTTGATGATTTCCAGTCTCTTGAGGAAATCCCTACTGGTGTCATGGATCTGTTTCCCATCCAATAATACTAAGTAGAAAGAAAAAGAAGAATGAAAACAGTGCAAGTGTATATTGTCCTACATATTTTTATTTTTGGGGTATATGTTTGGCAGTGTCAGAACGTCACCTTTTTTCAGCTACATGTTTTATAATAAAAATATACTTATGTATGTGTTGCAGGCATGTTATGTGTCCCTTGGTAACTTTTGAATTAGTGGGTATTTTCATGAAACTTGGAACAAATGTCATGCCATTGGATGCCAACATTTTAATTCCCTATCAGTGCACTTTTTTCCCAGGGAAAAATCCCTGGTACCCACTGGATGGATAGGAGGTTGGGTAGACCTCAGAACTGGTGGGGATGTAAAGGCTAGAAAAATAAATTCTTTAGAAAGTACAGTGTAGTGTAACAGAACTGTTCTCATCTGTTACTTTGTGCAGTCATGTTGCATATATGTAAATAATTACCCACCTAAATTGTTGCTGGAAAATATTATGAGTCTCTCTCTATACTTTTGTTGTGAACAGACAGGATTTCCTATTAACTCCAGACTGGTAAGGCGGTACCACTGGGACACAGCCTGTATTAGATCTATGGTATCACTAAGACAGTTATATTGAGCTGTCAGTGATTTCAGGTTATGTAGGCACTGTAAGTCAGCAACTGATGTCAGACCATTACTAGTAACATCCAAAACATGCAGGGATTTCTGAAATGGAGAGTGCAGTATAGTTTGTTTTATGTGAAGTACAGTGGTTTTCTGTTCTCAAGATTTATAAAAATGATGACTACCTGAAATTATCAGATTTTTGTATTTAGAATTGAGCTCTCAACTTATGTCCCCCCCCAGCATAGTTTCCATTACCAAAAATTTTTTACACAAATTTATGTTATGCTTTCTGCTAGTAAGCTTACAGCAAGTCCTTTCATAGTTCTTGGATCAAATTGTAGAGTTTCTCCTTGTGGCAGCTGCTGATTCTGTATGTGCAGTTCTTCCAAATTGCAGAGCTTGTCTAAACCCTCAATCACAGTTATGCAGTTGTATCCTAAGTATCTGCAGACACATTGTACATCAGAATTTGGGTTAGTATTTATGAACTGTTTTGAGAACAGAAATAAATGTAATTATATTTAGACAGCATGTAAGTTTTATATACAGCACAGTAGTTATATTCAAAATTAGCACATACAGTATTTTGCAAAATATGTATTGGTAGTTTGTCCCTTGGCTGCTGCTTTGCCCAAAACTACATAAAGATAAGTTTTTACCAGTATATTTAAACATGCCCTAGATCAGCGTTTGTCAACCTATAGTACGAGAACTAAGTAAGAAAATCAAAAGATAATATTAACATAACTTGGGTAGTGGTGCATTTAATGTGTTAAATTGGAATTAGTGGTATGCCAGTGAAAAAGGGTGAGAACCCCTGCACTAGATGATATTAAGATAATGTCTATTTTTATTAGCAGACAGTAAACATTATTCATTTTAATTGTTCTGTGCCTGAGACTTAGAAGATAAGCTTCAGTGAACATTTTGCAACACCTTGTCCCTAATAATATGAGTTTAATTAGTTCTTTTGTGCCCGGGTTCGAACTCTGATCGCCCAGCCCAAACCTACCCACTACTAATCATGTCTGTTAAATCGTGTCGTAGCATCTCAATGTGAGCTCCAGATTTTGTATTTTAGGCGCTTTCACAACGAAGTTGCAAAAATGCGCCTAGTATCTTCGTCATTTCGGTCTATCCTAATGTAATAACTCGAGAAATTTGATTTTCATTAATTTGGTATTGAGCGAGGTTACTGAGATTTGTTGGCAAATTAATTTTGGTTAACAGTAACTGGTATTTGAAGATCTGCACGTGTAACAGCTTAAAGAATCTGGTTACTATGTACTCGTCCATTACTCATGTTGACGGAAAATCGTGTCATAGATAACCATAGATTGGGATGGTCTCTGCTATTGTCTGTGCGTGTGATGGAAGTGGTTCGATCGCAGGAGTTTCTTTCCGTTCTGAAGTGCTGTATATGACTTTCGGCATGTAGTGTATGTGAGGGGAAATTACAGTTCAGTTGATACAATTTCTGTTCAGGCGGTTTTATGCATGCAAGATAGTATTGTACGACTTCGTGTTTAACAAGGTTCGCAGGCATGCTGTTCCGTTGGACATTGTTCTAAGAGGATTTGGCTCCTGCAAACAGTGAGTAATAAAGTTTCATTAAGGAAAATCTTTGCATGGTGATAATATGTATACAATCCTTTAATAGACCGTATATTGTAGTGAACATTTTAGTACTTTTAGGGACTTCAGTGATCTTGTTTAGTTGGTATTGGTACTTCTCAGTTGTTTTTATTGAATTAATAATGGCCAAATATTCAGTTAGAATCAGGCTTAAACCACCTTACCAAAGTTAGGGTGAATGTCCATCAGGAGTATTTAATTCTTCATCAAGTTTGGACATTGAATTTCATGCTATAGTAGCAGCTTCATTTTTTACAGAACTTAGCTAAGAATAAAATATACTTTAATATTATCCTTCCAACAAATTACTGGTACTGCTTAATCTAAAAAGTATGGAAGGAAGAGAATAAGACAAAGCCAAATTAAAAGAGAAGCCAGTTTTGTCCATGTAATAAGTTTGATGTGATTCTTTTAATTTATCTCTCAGTTGTACACACAGATTTTTGTAATGTGTGGTTCCTGCAGTCGGACAATCCCAGTTTTATTATGTCACCAGCACAATTGAAAAGCCATGATCAAAAGGTATAGTTTAGTTAAAATCTGCAATAGAGTTAATTTATTATTGCCAGTGTTTGGATTAAATACCACAGTTATTATTTTTATTTAAAAACTTTACATTTTAAAAATGTGCTCTGTGTAGTTTCTGCCTTTATTACCAGACTGCCTACAAAGTTAAATTTTTAAATGTAGGGTTCCATTACTCTGCATCCTGTTTTTGCACTTGACATCAAAAATTTATATCTTTCATCGCAGAGTGCTGTACATATTGTCACCGGAATTTAAAAAAAATTGCACATTTTTAATCTATGAATATACCACAGCATGAAAAAGGTTTTAGTATTGTGAATTGTATTCTAGTGGCTTATGATCAGGATGAGTGGTGGATTATCATGTTAGGGATATTGACCATTTGGATTCTGTTAGTAATAGGAACTTTTTTTTTTTAATTTGTGGTTTGTGTAAGTAGCTCAGTAGTTCCAACTGTATAGCATCGGATGATATGATTACTAATGGATAATTAATTATAACCGTTCTTTGGAATCTACACAATATTATTTTTATCTCTATGTAGAAGCCATCAGTCAACAGAGCTATGCTAAAGAGTTAAAGACAGTGTTAATGAAATAATTCAACTGTTTGTGAATGTTGGAAGTTGGAGGCATATTCTACTAAATTTAATGGTTCTAAGGTCTTCAACTGTATGGTTATTATACTCACAATTTCTTCAGCTTTCTTAGGCCATTTAAACTTTCAATTTTGCTGATTTTATTTCTCTGGAGGTATATATGAGTCAGTTGACAGGCATGCTCCAAATTGTCAATTTTTGTCAAACAGTTATTTTGTAAATATAAAACTGTTAAATTCTTTAATTGTGAGATATCACCCTGGAAAAGCAATTCATAAATATATTCATGAGAATACAACATTACTTTGGATATAAAGGTAAACAATAATGGATTGTACTTACTATTGTATCTATGAAATTATCTTGTAAATGAAGATGGGTCAATTTTCTGACACTGTCTTTGTTAGCATCAGTCCTCTGACTGGACTTATTTTTCACTTTGCGTACCACTAGTGCTTCTGTAAGTTTCACCATGTTCTTGCAACAGGAGCAAAATTAACTGAAACGTTCAACTTTTACTTTGCAATTTTATTACTGTGTTAGGTGATATAATTCCATCATTCCTTTTGAATACTAATGTAACACAAAAATAAAATATTTTCTCTGATGAAACTATGGCTTATTTACTCAATAGCTTTTTGGTAACCATGGTAACTCCCTGTATTGGTAAACTAAATGCTGAAACCATTACTGTCCCAAGGTTTCTCTTTCTGGTGTATTATGCAGTCTTGTTGTTAACATTACATTCTGCAGACTGATACATCATACATTTCTGCAGTCTAAAAAGAGGAATGTCACTTGAGGTTACCTGCAGATCAGTACTAAGAAAGGGAAACTGGGAAAAGAGGTAATCTACTTCAAGAGCCAAGAGAACAGTACTGTAACTATTGATTTAATGTCAGAGATTTAAAAAAGTACTGTAATGAACCACACATTCCCTTTATGATTTGCTGGAAGTTTTAAAAAAAGATAGATGCATAATAGTAAGGTTGCATGCGGTATATTTCATGTCAGAAACAACTACTTGGTTTTCAGTGAAATTTGATATTAGGGTCTGCACTAGAATTTGTCACATGTTAATTTTATTTTGTCTGTATTAGTCCATACTTTACATGTTATAGAAATAGCTTTTATTTTAAATACTTGCTATGATTTATATACCAAATAAAAGGAAAACTTTGATCTCTCTGCACTGTCATACATCTAATGATATTAACTTTCGATTGTTAAGTATGTGACTGAGTATTGTGGTGTCTGTACTGTTGATTCCCTCTAACAATAGATACTTATCTGCAGTACATGTTTCCACAGGGGTAAAGTAGCTAGACTGATCACCTCCACCTGTACCTCTCCTCCCCTGTATGTCTTCATGGCTTAGTGCTTAATTAAGCATGGGTACAACTTAACCTTTACTTTTTTTGAAAACTGCAGTGAATGTGTTTAGATGAACCCATATATCACTGTGAATCAGTATTTATATACCCTGTTGTGGTTGGTGTATCAAATGTAATTTGGTATTGTGAGAAATATGGACTTATTTAACTCACTATTGTTACAAACACTTATTTTCTTGTTGGCAGTTCTCTGCAATTATGAATCACAAATCTTGATTGTTCAGTCTTGCCTAGCTCTCGCACTGGTATTAAGTGTTCTCTTCACAATCCTGTTATGCTGCTTCTTAGGTGCTGTTACACTGCACACTTCTGCATCACTCTGAATACACTTAATACTCTGCTCTGGACTTGTGAGTGCTCAGCTGAACTGCTTGTCACAGTGCACTGCCCTATGTAATTTTAGTATCTGTTCACAGATTACATAGATGATTCCAAATGCTTTTCGGTTCTTCCAGTTCACTTGACAAGAAATTTGTAGTCCAAAATTGAGGTCTGTTTTCAGTAATGGAATAGTGCTTCAAGAGTAAAGTAGTCATTTTGCCTGACCACATATGTGAAGGGTACATATAGTTTTATCCCATAATATAATGCTTTGTCTGCAAAGATTACTTACCTTGCTTTAAATATCTGGTATTATTTTGAATGATGAATTTGAGAATAATGTTGAAGGGTAAATTCCTGTTCTAAGAGAGTACAGTATCCTGCTACTTGTCTCAAGAGACTGAGGAAAACTTCAATCAGGATAGGTGGTCTCTCGGTCCAGACTGGACCTTTAAAATATGAAGCAGGAGTGCTAATCACTGTTCTGTGGTAGTTGAGTCATAACAAAAAGTAGACTTTCTGAATACATAGAACTTATTGTAAATAACCATTTTTATTATTTTATAGCATTTTAAAAAAGGAACATACAAAAACAAGCTGAAAATCAATAACAATTTTGCTTTTAAAATACAAAATGTAAACTTCAGTCTGAAAATACCACACTGATAAAGTTTATAAAATCATCCCAGTGATCTGCTTTTTAACCTAGTATGTACACTGTCTCGGAAAAAACGCCTTTCAGAATTAAAAATAATTCTATCATGTTATATCTAAATATGAGCCAGCGTAGCTGTCAGCATAGTGACTAGCTACATGGATGACCAGGGTTCGATCCCTGACAGGGACAGGATTTTTCTTTTAGCCTCTGCGTCCAGACTGGTTCTGGGGCCCACCCAGCCTCCTATTCAATGAGTACCGGGGTCCTTTCCCAGGGGTAAAGCACGGCCAGGGCATGATGCTGACCACTCGGCCCCTTCTAGTGCCAAGGTCAAGAATGAGTAGGAGCTATACCTCCTCTCCCCCCCCCCCCCCCAAAAAAAAAAAAAAATTATATGTGTGATAAGTGTTGCTTTTCAGCATAGTGTGACTTAAGTTTTATCAACAACTGGAGAATCTGTTTAATAGTTTAAAACTGAAAGTAAGAAAAACATAATTAAATTTAAACAGCAGTTTAATTCTAGTTCTGGCAACCCAATTTTGCAGACTATACTTCAAGGCACTTAGGATTAAAATTTCATTACTGAAAAAGAAATGATAATAGCTTGCATGACCTGTCATCCATGTTTGTGGTGAACACATCATGTTATGTATGCCTGCTAGATAAGTTAAGAAAGCCATTTCTGAAGTAGTAGCTCCTATAAGCAAGGTTCTGCTTCTCTGGTTGCTTGGATGATGGTTTGCACAATTAAAACTAAAGAAAATTTCCCCAAACTGTTGTAAATTTTAGTGTAATATTTTTTTATTTTACAGAATTACACTAATGGGGATCTTCTTACTGGAGAAAATATAATGGGTCAGATTTACTTTACTTATATCTAAATAGACTAGATTATACTCGGTGTTTGACCGGTTTTCATGTTGTGGTAGTTCATATTACTATAAAATTACTTTGAAATATTCGGTCCTGTTGTGACAGTTGATAAACTTCATAAATTTAGTTTCACAACATTCACAAACTTTTATGCATTACTTTGGTATAGTTAAGATGTGTTTTGATCAGTTAAAACGTTATTTCTTGTAAGGATCCCCATGTTTCTCCAACCTTCATTTTAACAGGAAGTTGCACAGAGAGAGTGACAACATTCTCCAGGGCAGTTTGTACTGTCTGTGCCACCTCCAGTGCATGTTCACAGCATACCTGAAATCAGCACATCAGGAAGAAAGTGAACAGTGATACTATACTGCATTTTTTTTATTAACCTTTGAGTACCAAACAGTTTGTAGTTTTCTTTATAGCAGACCACAAAGGACCAAGATGACAAAGCACCAAAAATACTCTTACTAAACAACTGCTGCTGCTAGAACAAAAAACATGACACACCAGTAGTGACAGCTAAGACAAACACTACTATGGCCATGATACCTTGTAGTAGTCCCATGTTACTATGTTCACACAGACAACAACCACCTTGAAGGCCACCATAACTTCCACTCCCCATTACTACTCTAACTTAATACCACCATCCTCACCACTGCCACCACCAAAACTATGACTGTCACTACCATATCATCAGTCACCGTCTTCACCACTTCCACACACATCCACCTATAGCAGTGCTACCATCACCATCATAACACACACACAGGTGATGTATATGCAAGCAGAAGGAAGGGGGTAGAAGAGAAGTTAGCTTCTGGCACATCTGAATTTGTGGTGAAGGGTGATGACTTTGTGTACAGTATGTATCCACCACGTAACGCAAAGCTGTGTGTACAAACCTCATATAGCAGTTCATCATGAAGGTGCAAGGCAAGACTTGCAACAGAATTCAAGGTGTATCCCGCATTCCGCAGTCGTGACTGAACAAGAACCATACCTTTCTTGGCTATATCGGCTGCTGATCCCTGAACAGTTGAGTTGATCGCCTGCCTTTCAGCTTGTGCTATAATCACAACTCAGTATTATTTGTGTGAAGCTCAGGACAACTAATTTATATATCTCTTCATGACAAATAATAATTATTTTTTATAGAAAACTATACTGTGCATTTCATATGTTGATTAATGGCTCTGTCAAGCTTCTTGATTCCTGTAATCAAAGATGAAGTGTTGAAAATAAAAGTATTGGAGCGAGTCTGGCTTGCATTCCAGGTTTAAATAAATAGACATGAATCATGACAAGAGGTCACTTTTGGTGTTACTGAATAGCTTTATGCTTTTAATACAGAATGGAGCAATAAACAGCTCACAAAATGCACTACTCAAAGAGAGTGACCCTTAGTAGGATTTTAGGTTTTCATGGCAGTGAGTCTGAAAATGGCTGTCTTCTGGGTTGTTGTGCTGTGTAGTCTTGAAGAAGTTAACCGATGTTTCAGATGTCCTTGCTGCCTCCATCATCAAGGCAAACGTTGGTAAACTTCAACCAGACTACACAGCGCAACAACGCAGAAGACAGACTACGTAATTTGGGCCCAGGGCTGTGCACCGCTTGCTCTTGGGTTATGCCACCTGTATTTGACTATTTTTAAAAGAAATGCTGAGGCCACTCTTTGACATTGGAAAAACACCATGGGACCCCTTAGCTCAACTACAGCCCATGATTTATTCACTTTTATAAAATATATAAAATGACTTGGACCTTGTATATGATTTATTTTGATTAATGATTTAGTAATTGTTTTAATTAAATCAGCCACAATTTAGAACTGTCTTAATGGATGAGTGGGCTGTAGATGCAAGTGATCACACTATTTAAATCCTCCTCAAGCTGCCACTGGTGGGCAGTATTGCCCCGTCTTTCATTGGAACCCAAAAATTCATTACTGTGTTCCTAAAGTCAACAACCAGTGGACCCTACTCAGAACCATTTATTTCAAATCCACAACCTCACTCTGTTCCTTTAAGATCATTGTTAATATTATCCTTTCATGTAAGCATATTCCTTCCAAGTGGTCTCTTCAGGTTTTCGTCAATTCCCCCCCCCCCCCCCCCCATCATCATCATCATCATCATCGGTTTGATATGCTGAATATTTGGTGAAATCTACAAATTATGGAGCTCATATAATTTTCTCCAGCCTCTTAATTACTGGTACTGCCTTTCTTTTAGGTTATAATTTGCTGTGAAGTTAGTGGGTCATAAAACATTTCTATATATCTAGAGATATTTTGATATTGTAAATGGACAAATGTTTGAATGTTATTTGAGAAATGCAAACCTACCTCTTATAGTTGCATTTGAACTGTGTATGGTGGGCAGGTACCTTCTACGGCCAAAGAGCGTCTCTATGTATCCTTCCTTACGACACCGCGTTACTGTATCCAGCAAGAACTGCTTCACACCTGATGCAGAAATGTTCTTTTTTTTAATTAGTCACAGATGAGTGCTCATCCATCATGAAGCAGGTCAGCAGGCTTATTTTGTCTCTGAACCGTGGCTATGACAGAAATGTTATGGTATTTATTTTATATTTAATTGGATGTTATGTTGATATTGAAGGTTTTGAAATACATTCAGCTCTGGCAGTGAAGCATTCCATTTGTGAAATAGGAGCACCCATGGAGCTGTATCCTCTTTACTCCATATAATAAAGTGTATGAAGGCTGGAAGAAGATATATACAGAGTAATGTGGACTCCACAGCACACGCAGAAACTTCTGACTTAGTCAGAAGTGACCAAATGTCTTACTTGACCACATCACCTATGATCTGATCTTAGGAAAACATTTTGTATTTTACTCTTTTCTCTTGCTTTCTATGACTTGATTGTACAGAATCAGAACATCAGAAATCTTTTTATTTGACTTCGATTTTTGAGTCTGCACTTTATGACTTCTTTATGAGCCAAATGTCATGATCAGTTTAGGGAGGGAAAATGCAAATGTTACATCTAAAATTAATATTGTGATGCAGTGCAAATTGAACAGCCTTAGTGTTATGAAGATGTGAATATGCTGTAGTGGCTTATTCACTATAATATGCAGAAGTTTTTATGTTTTGACCTGAAACCAAGGCAGTTAAGAGATGACCCTACTTTGTCACAGCAAATAATACATCATGCCAGTATGAAAATATACCTGGATATGCATTCCTAAAAGAATCCATGAAGACTGATGCATCCTCCTCTTCCACTTCTAGTTGGTCTCCAAGTGCTTTTGTACCCATTCCATATATCATTCCGTAACATACTTGTTTTGCCCACTGACGTTGTTCAGTTGTTACCTAAAATATAACATGCAGATTATCCAACTAACATGCTGACTCTTTCCAGGTGGACAGAGAGGGCAGTCAGAGTTGTAACTCCCAAACACAGCAGACATGTCAATATGAAAACAAATTATACTACAATAAACATGTAAATGAAGTTAGTCTAATGAAAGAGACCGAATTTATGGTGTCTGAAGAAAGATCATCACGACAATGAGACAAACTTTAATGCTATGCTGTATTCCTTTTTAATGTTATAGAGAGCGTAACTTGTCTATATGTCAGAATTGTTACATAAATTTATGAACCCACATTCAGAATAGTGTACCTACAATTTCACATAGAAGTATTCTCATTATTCCTTTACCTTTAAGGAAAGATTTATTAAATAGCCTAAAACAAACAAACATTCATGATATTGCTTAGTTTGTTACCAAGGAGGTTAACATACAGCAGTTTCATGTCATGAGGTAAATGGTTCAGGTACCACCGGTAGTAAAGAATTTTCTCATGGTTTTATATTTTCACTTCTGGAGAATTCTGCTATTACTAATCACTGTACTGTAGTTAATTTGACACCATATAGCCTCACCAGTTCACACTAAATAAATAAAGCCAGTAAGTACAATTGTGTAATGAAAGAAGGTCCCATTTCTTTACTAGACTTTAACAGACAAAGTATATGTGATATTCAGGTACTGTAACTGACATCACTGCAGTCTAAGAATTCATTAATCATATTTTGTGACAGTGTGAATGTCAATCACTATACGTACATCTGATTCTGAAGTTTGATTCCAGGTGGCAGCAATACTACGAAACACATCACTGCCAGAGTTAAGAATTGAACACAAAATGGAATCCTTTGCCAGATGAGCCAGGAGACGTAACTCCAATTGACAGTAGTCTGCTGACACAAACACCTTACCTGCAATAATAAGATCTATGAAACAGGTTCCATTTTCAAATTCATCTCCTCACCAGTTTAACTAAGGAATGACCATCACAGAGCAAACAACAAATGCAAGTTAATGTATACTTTTACTTTATATAAGTAGGGCAGATTAACACTAACCTGGTGCTTGGGGTCTGTAAGAAATAATGAATTAAAAAATTACAAAACCAATAACTGGAAATTTTGGTAGTTCTTCATTATTTCATGAGTTCTCTACCTGTCACTGTTAGTTTCACCTGAGAACTGGCAAATTTCTTATAAAAATTAAAGCTGCATTTCAAATTACTCAGATCGGTACTGGAACTGCAAATTGTTACCCAAAAAGTGTCAATACAAAGACATGTTTGTAGTATATTTAGATGATATGGTGCTAGAATTGTTATGCTATGCGTGCATTTTGTAACTTGTCTGTGGCTTTCTTCAGTGTGCCAAGTCACAATGGGATAGACCTTAAAATAGGTCAGGACCACTTCTTTCCACATCAGTTTTATTGTAAGATATGCAGACAGAAGTTGCTGTTGCATAACAAACAAATGAATTGCTCAACAAAGTAGCCTCTATAATACTATTGCCATTGCAATTCTTTGATATTAGGAGTAATGCTAAAGAACTGGAATCTTAAGGTACGTTGGTGGTCATAATGAAATCGCCCATTAGTTATATTTATCCATTATTCTGAGGAGCACACTTTGGTCTCTAGATATTTGAAAAGAAAAGGATCAGCATTTATATCTCTGAACCTTATGGTAAAGTAAAAATGGATGAATTTTGGTGGAGGTGGGGCAATAAAATCTCTTGATTTCCTCAGATTAGATAAGAGGAAACTTGATACTTACCTTTTCCTGGCACAAAAGCCAATCTGATATTGATGGATGTAGGAACGCTTGCTTTCATTTTGTCTACTTCAATCTTAAATTCTCTTGGAATGTTCTGGAGATTTGGCTCATGCATGGAGATGCGTCCAGTAGCCGTGTGAATTACTGAGCTGGTGAACATTCGCTCACTAGTCTGTCCAGGAGCCAGCAGTGGGTGTAATGTCTGTAAGTGATGAAGTGATTCGCCACTGATGTTAATCATCTTCAGCAAGAGTTAATCCTATGCACAAAGCTACCAAACATCACAGTACCTTGGCAAGTATAGCATTCAACTTTCGCCACTGTATGATAACTCCTGGCAATGGATGATGAGCCTTAATCTGCATTAGAGCCTCTTTATTGGTGCTGGGTCGTCGGTATTTTGAACTCCGTCTGCTTGTAGCCAGTCCCAGCTCTCTGTATAGCACCTGCAGAAGATGGATTATACTATATTTATATGGAAGTAAATGTCGTATTGCTCTTACATAGTTTTCTTTGTACAAAGTCCATAAAAAGAACATATTATGTCATAATTTATGTTAAAATTGAAGTTCATAATGTTCCTAAACAATGGTTCATCATAAAAAGTATTGGTACATAACAAAATATATTTCTTATTAATTTCTGCAACATTTACTTCAAGCATTCTAGCATTCAGGTGGAAACTAAGGGAATAAAGAAATTCTCACTGACTTAGCTCTCTTAAACTCTTATTCTGTAACTTATTAATACCACTTCATATAATAATATAAATGAATAATCTGACTCTTATCATCTATTCACTGCTTGAAGATTAGTTTCTGCTGCATACATTGCATCTTTATCACTGACATAAGATTCAACACTTTGTCCTTACCTTGCTTACATCAGTAGGTGATGTTAAAGAGAAAGTATGTCCTGCTAATTTGTATGCGTGTTGTTCCAGTAATGTTAACTGTTGTTCCAATATATCACGCAGTCTTTCAGCTTTGTCCTTACTGAATCCAATACCATTTAGCTCCATTTGTGCTAGGCATAGTAATGCTGGCATTTCTACTTCTACGCAAAACAAAACCAATATTAGAGAATGATTCATACACATATACATTGTAATAAATTACAACCTGAGAGCACTCAAGGTTGTAAGAAAAATGGGATAGTTACATAATACATCACAACTTATTCCTTTTACTAATTTGTAAGGATGTTATTTATCCTAAGAGGATTATTATTGGCACTAAAGTGGAATTTGGGATCTCTCCTGTTTTAGTCTTTTTAAAACCTTGTTCCCAGAAGCAAAATGCTTTTGATGGAGGGTCATTGCTGAAAGGTCTGCCTATATAAAATAACAGAAAAATGCAGACACATCATCATGATTGGTTTTGTATTTGACTCTGTTTACTGAAATTAACACATTAATTAATTAATATAATAATTCTTTACAAACAAACTGGCAGCTGGTGCATCTAGTCTTGGTAAAGCCCAGCTGAATTAGGTGAAAGTCACTGTTCTCAGTCTTTGTACAGAAAGGAAACTTGACATTTATCTCATGTGAAGAATCACAAAGTTCATGTTACAGATTACTTGCTATATTTGTGATTAGAATAATGTTACTGTTTTACACAACTGGGTAGTATGTTTCTAAATTTGCAGACTGAGAATGACCCTAAGAATGTGAAACAAATGCCATTAAATTACTCTGAAAATAATTTGGTTTTGTCTTTCTACCATTCTCCACAAATCTCTAGGAATCTGCAGTTGTAACCTGAAAACATGTATACTTTAATCTTGTGTGGAATATCTGAAATGTTGTTCTAAGAAAATACCTAAAAAAATTAGATTTTAAGCTGCATAAGCCCGTTAAGTATGAATGTTTTAATGATTGATTAAATTATTAAAACATCACAATAAAGTGTTTGTACTTATGTCACAATCTAGTTACAGATTCAAGGTGACACCAATCACAAGAGAAAAAATAAATCAAGAAGTAAAGGAAAGATGCATGTATTCTTTCCCTTTCAGCGTTGTTCAACATACATAGTAGGTGGAAAAAGCAAGTGCAGCAAGGTTTACAGCTGTGCAACGCTTACATGCATGGTATGATTTGCAAAGGAAGTAATTTTACAGAAAACTGAATGTGAACTTTAAAATTCTGTCTTCTATTTAATACATTATGCACTGAATGTAATAAGAAAATGGCATGCAAAACAATGGCATTATATGGAAAATACCCTGTAATAAAAAACTGAATAATGATTTTATTAATCTGAACAGAGGATAGGACATAGCATACTAATGTGATAATGTACGAATAAGAAATTCCACTAATATCAAGCTGTATACATAAAAATAGAAGGAAAGAGAAGAGAAACTTAAAAAATGAGAAATTAAGTGACTCTATGATGGAATAATTGGTGAAAAATATACTATAAAAGCTGCCTGTTTTTCACCCACTTTTTCTTGAAGTGAACTGCAATGAATAATAAAATTATTTATTTTGGCAGCTTTATGGTATATATTCCAGTTGGCTAGAGGTCTAGTATTTACTGGTTTCTTGCTCCATAGTGATTGTTTGATGCACTTAATGGTTACCAAGCAATGGACATGGATAATTTTTTGCAATATAAAAACTACAGTCATACAGCATTCAGATAAAAATACAAGAATGGATATCACTGAACAAAAAGATTTTATATATAAGACTGAATTAGAATATTCACTGCTGGGAGTTTATGTACCAAAGTTTGATATGACATTCACACTAATTTAGTGATTACAACCATATTAATAAAATAATTATTAATATATTGTCAAGATATACCAGTGTTTTCTGATTACACCTTCACCCATACCAAGTAAATTATTCACCCTGACCTCTTCTCCACCTTTCCTCAGTATGTGTTGGTCTTCTGGGTGGTAATTCCATGTAGAATTACAGATACCAGCATGTCAGAGGAACATACTGTTCTCATCTTCAGGGTTGATTGTTTCTCTGAAGTGTTGGTATTTACTTGCAAGTTCACACAGTATTACTACCCAGAAGATCAACATCGACATCCTCATCAGCATGAGAACCTCAAGTTTGGTGCCACCAGATCTCGGTTTGTAAATTAAATTCTAAATTTGTGAATTGTACCTGCATAGATTCTGTCCAGTTTCTTCTGTTCCAAACTGAGACACTGAGCTTCAACAAGTTGCCATGTGAGAACTGCTTCAACACAAGCTCTTAGGCTTCCTAATGTTGTACTCGTCCAGTCTAAAGCAGGGCTACCAACACCCCAACCACTTCCTACTAGATGTACTAAATTGCTAGCAATACTGCCACAATATTTTAATACCTGGAAAAAAAGGGCTCAACATCATGCAACTTAAACACATTGTATATTGCTGTATATATGACAAAGAAGACTTCCAATTAGGCATTTAATAAAAATGTGGCCAGCTTGAAGCCCAAACAAGATATAGAAAATGTGAAAAAAGTTACTATAGTGTCTTGGCTGCACAGCCATAAGAACAGAGTGTTACAGACTTACAAAATATTTCTTTGCATAAGGTTTCTCTATTGAAATTGTGTTTTCATTCATATGTGTGTGTGTGACTAAGTACTGCACACACTACACAACGCAACAACCCAGAAGACAGAAATCTTCATACTCACCGCTGTGAAAACCTCAAATCTTACTGCTGTGTTGCAAGGAAATGAATATAGCTTGAGCATAAGTAATAACAACCCATTTATGGCACAGACATTGTTTACCTTACTTCACCAAAATACATATGAGTTTACAATTCTAGCATCATGTTTCCCTTACCATAGCATGAAGGTTCTTTTCTCTACTCTCTGGTTCCAGCAACCAATCAGCAACTTTGGGGTCATGACCCATAGTAAGGTCCACCATTATACCACAACATTGAACTAGGGCTTTCAGGTGTTCCTTGAGGTCAAATGCACAAACGGGATGTTTTCTAGCCAGCAGATCTTGAATTAAATCCAGCTTGCACTGTAAGCCTACACAATTCTTGTCACCTGCTTAAACATATTTATATAATTAAAACTTTTATCATTTATATTTATTGAAGAGAACCAATGCTCCGTTTAGTCTGATTATGAGTTAATCGTAACCAAAGTAATTAAAATTCTGGGTATAAATTAAGGCATGTAATTGATTTTAGACATTTAAAAAAATATTGTGCTCTTATGAGGCACTTCACTGATAAAACATCTTTACCCACACTGCCATCAGAATGAAATGGCAATAAAATAATTTCTTTGTTCCTTTTTTCTATATTGTAAGATTTAAAAATTAGGAAGAAAAGGAGAAAATTTCTGCAAGTAAATATAAAGATAATTCTTATGTCTTACATTTAGTGACTTTTTCAAAAATATTTCAAGATTTATGTTCTAATAGTATGCAGTACTAAACATGAACATTATTTTTATGAAAACTATATTAATTTTTTAATTTTCCCTGTTCAACATGGATTACGTCACTGAGATAGGCTTGAGGCTTTTGCCATTGTTTAACTGAGATGCTGGGACAAGTTCAGTTGTTATTCAAACTTCATGGTAAATGCAGGTAGCAGTTAGAGGTTGTAAGGTAACATTCTGAGAGAACATGAATAGCAGAGAAAACTTTGTTAATCAGTTAAGAGTCTAATTTTTCTACTTAATCATAACAAATAAAACTCAACAGTATTTAAACAAGAGCACTGACACTTCTCTTCAAGTCCTGCATACAATGACAAACCTAACTCAGCAGCATAAACCATGGTAAGAGACAGAGTCCTTGCTTTCACCACCAGAAATATTTGGTGGATGAACTCCTCCAAGTAGATTACACTTGAGGGTACCATGTGCTAAGAGGCATACCTTGTTTTAAACTGATGTAGAACACATCGTTCCCACCAAAGCAGACAGCAATTCCTGACACATTTCTGTCCCCATAATGCAGTGTCCTTTCATGTGAGGTGCTTGGAGGTTTCTTCTTCTTGTAGCCAATGATCCTGGCCCCTATTCTTGTATTATTTGTGCTTCTTGGTGAGGTGGGTTGACTGAAGCGTTCACAAGCAACAGCTATGGCCATATTGGACATACCCATGCAGGTCAGTTCAGATTGGAAAGCAGTCCATATTCTCTCATGTCCACAAACATCAACAATATTAATGGAATCCCATCCACTGTAAACAGTGCAATATAAAAATTGTTTGGTAATTAGTTTACATGATTTGTATCATCAGTGTAAGCGAGGCAACACGCGGAATTATCCTACACAAAAAGGAAAAGGACATGTGACAGTTTCAAGATAATACTTACATTGCTTTCCTTGGACTGACTCTGTTCTTGGTATGTTTTGATATTGGCCTAATAGTTGTACTAAGCTGCTGACGAGAATGTGTTGGACTTTTTGACATACTTCTTATATCTCTTTCTGACATCTTCCATCTTACTTTATCCAGGTTGTCACACCCCCTGCAAACATACAATATCATCTCAAGAGTTTGAAAAGTCAGAAGTAAAATATGTTTAATGATCTTGTATCATTTGTACTTATCAAGTGAGAAATGACATAATGATCATGAATGGTGATTTGGAAAGTGTTTAGGAGGAAATGGTACTGGTCTATTTCAAGGTACTAACCAGCATTTGTGTATTAGTCTAGGGTGGCTGAGGAAAAATTTGAGAAATCTCAGTGAGGTTGGCTGATCTCCTGACCAAGATTCAAACCAGGGGTCTCCCAAATATTAACAAAAGTAATAATAATGATGTTCAGTAACTTGTAATAAATACTGACTATGCTTGTTCATATATCACTCATTTTATCTTGACATTCCAATTCCGAACAAGGAGGAGGGAAGTGTATAAGGAATATATCTTAGTGTACAGCTAGCTGTGCTGGAACAGTAATACCATTACAGAGTTATGGGAGAGAAGAGTTTTGTTACTGCAATGAGTAATGAGGAGTTCCTGTCAGAATTCATAAAGCTTACTTTTCTGTTGCACAACTTCCAGTCCTACAAGTCTTGTTAATCTTATATTTAGGAAACGAGTTTATAATCCAACCATAAAATACAATTTAGTCTATGAGTTAATGGGCCAAGCTTCTGCATAGATGGTCACAGTATTAAATCCTACTTATCTGAATTTTTTATTGGTTGCAATTATAAATGTTACCAAATGGTGGTGGTGGTGGTAGGTTTTTGTTTTTGAGAAAAGTTGTTAAGTGCAGATTCAATCTACATTAAATTTTTCACATTAACCTCAAATTCTTGCATTGACATAAAGAAATCAAATCAGTTACATACCTTTTTCTTCCACTGTCATCACCTTGTGATGATGTAATCAAATCATCTGCTTCTTCTGCATCTGAATTGCTGTCACTACTTAACTGCAACATTTTATTTGCCTTTGTCCTCCAAAATGTTGGACTACTGACTGATGAAGAATTTGACCCTTTTATAACTGGGGTCTCTGTTCTGTCTGTGAAGTCTTTCTGTACATGGCTAGATGGAGATAAGTTCATATTCACTTCTGGAAAGCCCATCTTCATATTGCTTGGTCTTTGTAGATGGCATTGTTGGCTGCAATCTTGCAAAATCTCTTCAGGATGCAACTTTTTATTAATAATGCTGCTTTTGTTTTCCAAAACTTCTAGAGATGCAATGGAAATTGCTGAAAATGTTCTGGGGCAGTCTTCATTATGTTCATCTTTTAATGAACCTTGTGTGTTCTTCTTTTCAGTGACTTTCTACAAACAATAGATAAAATATAATTAAACTGTGTTATTTGTAATAATGGTTTTAATTACTGTAGTATGAGAAATTCTTCTTTGCCACAATATGCTTAGCTTTGCAATAAAATAACATGTCAGTATAACCCAAATTTGAATAACCTGCCAGTAAAGAAACTAAGAGACTAAAACTGAACACAAAAACCTCTTGAGTTTTTGTGGGATTTTTTTTATTTTTTTGAACCCTTCTTTCACTTTCATATTAAATTAAGTAATCCCTGCTTTGGTGAAATAGGTTATTACTATTTCACATTAATTTACAAGTTATATTATACTGGCTGATTTACTGAATCAAGGTCATGCCTTAGCACGGTACATACCTAGTATTCATGAACTGGCTACAAATCTAAACATCTATTTCTAATTCACTCACTTTAAACCAAGCAGTATTCAGCCTTAGCTGTTGCTATTGAAAATTACTGTTGCATATTCATGAAATGAAATGTTTCTTTATAGTAGTTTGTGAAATATTGTTTCTCATTATGACTCATTGTAATTTTAAAAAGGCCAGCAAAGCAAGTGTCAGGTACCCTTAAAAACCCAGAAATTTGGTTTCTCAATGTGTATCTGTTCAAACTGCAATGTAGTAGCTCTGTTTCTCTCGAGGCATCCACCCTTCTTATGTGAAGACTGGCATACAAGAATTAAGGTGTGAACGTATTCATTCAGATTTCATTATTGAAAGTGTTGTACAAACCTCAATGGATTTTCCACGTGAATTTCTCTTTTCTTTATCTATGGC